CGATGCGGATCGCTTTACCCAAATGATCTTCGAGGCTGTTGAACTTGCCGGAGTCCGCGCGCTCGTGTCAAAGGGCTGGGGCGGCTTGGGAGGTGACGAAATGGATGTTCCCGATAACATTTTCATGCTGGAGAACACGCCTCACGACTGGCTCTTCCCCCGAGTCAAGGCATGCGTCATCCACGGCGGAGCTGGAACCACTGCCATTGCTCTCAAGTGCGGCCTGCCTACCATGATTGTGCCTTTCTTCGGCGACCAGCATTTCTGGGGAGCCATCCTCGCATCAAGCAAAGCCGGACCCGAGGCTGTGCCATATAAGCAACTCGACGCCGAGAAGCTCGCCGAAGGCATCAAGTACTGCCTTACAGACGAGGCGAAAGAAGCGGCCGCCAAGGTCGCCAAAGACATTGAACTAGAAGGCGACGGCGCCAAGAATGCAGTGCGGTCGTTCCACCACCACCTGACTCTAGGAGGAATGAACTCCATGCGCTGCTCCATTCTGCGCGACCGACCGGCAGTCTGGACGCTGAAGAACACCAATGTCAAGCTTAGCGCCCTCGCCGCTGACATCATTGTCGAGGAAGGACAACTTTCGTGGAAGAGGCTAAGACTGCTGCGGCACACGGAATGGAACGACTTCGAGGGCCCTGGAGAACCAGTGACTGGTATCGCGGGCTCTCTTGCCGGGACGATGGGCAATGTGTTTGGCGGTATCGGCAGTGTTCCCTACAGGATTGCCAAGACATCACACAAGCGCAAGGAGAAAAAGGACAAGAAGAAGAAGTTGAGAGCCCTCCGAGATAAGCGCACGAGTGCCAAAGAACGCAAAGCCGCCACCAATAGTAATGGCGCGCTGCAACCGCAGGAGGGTGACGAAGACAATTCCAAAAAGGAGGGAGACGAGGCGAAAGCAAAGGGCGGAGATGACTCCAAAGCGCAGAAGAAAGATGAAGGAAAAGCCAAGGAGGGAGGTGAAGATCAAGATGGGAAGCAAGACGACAAGAAAGGAGAGAAGTCCCAAGCCAACGGCAACGCTTCTTCTGCTAGACCGGGTGCGCAAGAACGACGCGAAACCATGTCATCGATCGATACTGGAACCACCGTCGACGACGCCGTTGGAGATTACGCCAATGAGGTCGGCGAGGGCGTGGGCAAATCGGCACAGGCCCTCGCGAGGGCACCGGTGGACCTATCCATGGCCATCGCTCAGGGATTCCACAACGCCCCTCGGCTTTACGGTGACGATACCGTTCGACGCCCACCCCGTGTCACCGGCATTAGCTCCGGGTTGAAGGCGGCCGGCAAGGAATTCGCTTACGGCATCTACGACGGCACGACCGGCCTCGTTCGCTTGCCGGTCAGGGGTGCCAAGAAGGAGGGCGTAAAGGGATTCGTCAAGGGGACAGGCATGGGTCTCACGGGATTCGTGCTCAAGGATCTCAGCGCCATCATCAGTCCCGTTGGCTACACTCTGAAGGGCATCGCCAAGCAGGTCGAACGGAAGAAACAGCCCGATCGAGTTGTCCGTCGGGCCCGTCTTGTACAGGGCCAACGCGAAAGACGGAACCTCCCAGGCGACTCCAAGAAGCAGACCGACAAGGACGTAGTCACTGGTTGGTTAACCATTCGCGAACTCCTAGAGACCCTTGAGGCCGAGAAGAAGCAAGGGATCAAGGGGGTCTTCTCGCATAAGAAACAGCGAGTCAACCACGCAGCCTTTGAGAGCGTCGACATTGCCGACCGCACCCTTCAGGCGATCAAGAAGGGCGAGGATATAAGCACTGTCGTCGGCACGGAAAAGGAGCTCCGCAAGGCGGATGAGAAGTTGAAGAGTCCTGCGACAAGACATAGTGTTGATACGAGGCGGTCGACCGAAACCGCGCGGGCGCGCAAGTCTGCTGAGGATCAGGAGAACCCGGAGGGCTCGGACAAGAACTCGGACAAGAGGAGACATGATATCGCGGAGAATGAGGAAGGAGAGGCGCGGGCCGAGGCGGCAGACCGCGCGGATGCCAAAAACAAGGCTGCCGCGGAAGACGCAAAAGACAGAGCGGAAGCTTCCGGGTCCAAGTCCAAGGACGGAGCCCAGATTAATGGCACGGCTGGAGTAGAGCATAAGACGCAGTCAGAGGAGGACGGACATTGGCGGCCCAGCGTTGATCGCGCGAGGTCGGCTCAGGTTTAGGAGTTTGGGAGGCTATCGTCTGTACGGCGTTTCTTTTGTTTTTCGAGTGGGTGAGAAGAGAGATTTCTAAATCAGACAGACAGACTACCCCCCATCGCCCAGGCATGTTCGGCACATGCGTTGTTTGGCGTTTGGGACTCTTTTTAGATACTTTTTTTGACTTATACCCCCACCCCCTTTTTCTTGATATTCCTATGTAGGAGTAGCGAGTAGTTTTCTAATCAAAGTTAATATCTAAGGAGAGGCTCTGATGTGTTTGTGAGCATGACTGACGGCTTGAGGGCCTGTCAGGCGGTGAGAGAGATGTAAGTGAGTGCCCGTCCCGGATGGACGAAGGTTTGTTGTTTTGGTTGGACGAGGAATATCGAATAACTTCCGTAAACATGGTCCCGGAGGATGATAGAAATGGAAAATGGACACCGTGTCGAACCGCGCCAATTTCAAACATATCTCAGTTTCTATCTGGTGCCCCGTTTTCTCCATCTTACCAGATCCTGCTGCCTGCCGTTTGCTCGATACATACCTGCCTTAGGATGAGGTATTGGAGGAAGGTACCTTCCTTGGACGATGGGGCCGTGAGGCAGGTACGAATAATCATTTTCCCACGGCACCTTCCTCGAACATGACCCAAGTCTGCTTACACACTTTTGTGCCTCAAAACTTTTTTCCCCCCTTCTTCCCGACTTTATTCTAATTACATCCCCCACACCTTGATTTTACACACGATTGTGTATGATCAGCCTTGCCCACCATGGCTTCTGCTGACGAGTACAGTTTGACGGATGAACCCGACGACGATAGCGACTACGCCCCTCAAGGTCTCGAAGAGGCCGGCGCCATGCAGTTCGATGACGAGGAGGAGGACGACGTTGAGAACGACGGTATCGTGCAAGGCACAAGAAGACGACGAGGTGCACGCTCCCAGGCATCGACTGAGCCCGAAGAGCCCCGACCGACGAGACTGGCAAGACGCAAAGCACCCAAGCGAAGAAGGAGTCCGTCGGTAGAAGTCGTCTTGCCAGACAGAACCAAGAGGAAGAAGACGAGCCATCCGACGCCAAACAGTGGCGGAGTCGCGGAGCGGTCTCGAGAAGAGGACAGTTCCCATTCATCCTCGCCTGAGCCTACCGAGGGTCACGTTCTGTGGGACCCTGTGCGAGAGAATTTGTCAAAGAATATGTCTACGGCCCGAGTTAGAGAGTATATGGATGAGACGCTTCCTATCCTGACGAAACGTCAGCTCGATCGCTTGTTCCCAAAGAAGTTGCCCAAGTCGAAATACGACGAAGACTGGACCGAGAAAGATGAGAAGAAGCTGCAGAGGGAGTGGAAGAAGAACGCTGAGCGGGAATTGCTCGTGACCTTCAAGTATACCCCAGCTGAGCTCATTGGGCTTTGGAAGGTCTGGCTGCGCGTCTGGCGCTGCTCGCCACAGTTGTTCATCTCCAAGTACAACAACATGGAATTCGACACCAGCGTTGTGGATGAGATCGAAATCGAAAAGAATGGTCAAGTCTACAAGAGACGACCGGTCGTATGGTCGGTAGCATTCTGTCGGAACCTTCACCACCTGTCTCTCCATCCCGTCTGGATGGGGAGCCTCGACTTGCTCGCAATCGCTCTGCAGTACGCCTCAATCTTACGCACGAGGAACTACCAGGACTGGCCGCTGGATAATCCGACGGACGACAACTTCATCGCCACCTTTATCAATGTGATTGAGAAGTACAAGGGCAAAGGCAAGTCGCTGCCCGAGCTACACAAGAAGACAAGATCGCGAATGACTCACAAAGCCCTGAATGCATCACCTCTGTCAACCTTGATGCTGGATCTTGAGGGGAGCATTGTCACCGACGCCGAGCCTCGCACGAATGGCAGGAAGTTCCGAACATACAAGATTAGCATTCACGAGATCAACAACATCATCAGGGCCTTGTCCAACTCTACATACATGGGCATGCCACAATGGGGAGGCTTCACGCCCAAGGAATATGCCAAGCTCGCCGTCTACGGCCGAAGGCCATTGAGTGAGTTACCAAACAAGAGCAACATCGCTGACGTTTACGAGCGAGCCATTCTTGTGCGTTTGCGATGGGAAGCAAAGAACAAGAAACGCCGAGCCCGACTCAACGTGCCAAAGACTGAGCCTTTCAGAGTCCCAAGTCGCCACAGGGCAGCACGTGAAGATGAAACGACGGGGGACGCTCAACTGAGGGCGGATCTTGACGACGCAATACGCCAGAAAGAAGCCTTAGAGGCGGAACTACGAGCACGACCACAGATCGAGAAGCGTAGAAGACGTAACGCTGACGAGAACGCGCACCTGGAGGAGCTTCAGGCTGAAAACAAAGAGTTGAGGGAGAGATTGGAAAGTGAAGCTAGCGAACATGCACAGATGGAGAAAATCTTGAAGACAGATCTTGAAGAAGCAGGACGCCAGATCGAAAGGTGGAAGGCGAGAGTACGAGCGCCATCACCAAGGTGAAACCGGAACAGGCGTAACGCGGAGGAGGATACGCACCTGGAGGAACTTCAGGTTGAAAAAGAAGGACTGAGAGACAAAGTACAAGCCCACGCAGCCGCGCGCATAGTTGGAGACTGGAGCCTCAGCGATTCTGAGATGCGGCCAAAGGCTGCATAGAACAGAAGTGAGAGAGGGAAGGGGGGTGGAAAATTGACAAGTTTTGCTGAAACAATTTGAATATGAGTAATGATTGACCGGAACAAGTGATTGCCATTTCCATCTGTAAACACTACGTCTACGAATCTCTTGACCGAGCTTTATTCAGGTCAATATAAGTGTGCTCACATTAGATCACAGTCGTTCCAGGATAGTGGCCAGCGCATTCATCTCTTTTCGAATTCCATGCATTCTCAGCTTTTCACTCAGCATCTGCTCCCACTCCTTGCTGGCCTTTTCCAACAGTGCGTCGCCCTCCTCGCACGCCTGGGCGCCCCTGTTGCGGTTGTACATCTTTTGGTCAATCCTCGTTGCGTCGGACTCGACTTCTTGTTTAATTGATTGGCACTCTTCGAGGCCTCGGATAATGGACGGTCTTCCTTCACTATCCTCTCGCAACTTCTCAATGTCGTCTCTCATGCGGGAGAATCGAACCACAATATTCACTTTGGGGGTATCTGCAACACCACCCGTCTTGCCAGTCCTTGACTTCTTCTTCTTGTTCATGTCGTCAGTGATTGCACCTCCTTCGGCAACGTTGAAGCCGTCCTGCCATATGTAGGAGTGAGAAAGGGCAATGGCCAGCGTCTCGGCGACGGGCAACTGCCCTGGAAGCCATGTGTTGTGCACCACCCTCCGCGTAAGAACGGGGTCAAGGCCGTGGTGGCGCGCAGTACGGACGAGAAAAGACCCGGGAACTTGGTGATGTTCTTGAAGCTAGCCGTCAGGCTGTATTGAATCAGCCGTACCATCAGCTGGAACGAGTCATCCAACATAGAGAGGGCTCTGTTGTTGGTGTATCTCTGCGCCTGCCAGTCCTGGATATGACCTCTGCTTCTGAACGAGGCGGTTGATGAAGTCCCATGGACTGTCTGTCTGTGCTTAGCACTCAACGAATCGAGGCTGATAATAATGTTTGAAGTCTTTTGTGATGGAATGGTCATCAAACATACTACCTGCTGCGCGAACGAATGTGAGATCTGCTTGTGACTGACTGTCATCAAGCACAAAGCCCTCAAAAGCTCCCAGCTTGTGTCTTGAGAGAAGCGAATACCTCCTTGGGTTCCATCCAACCTCGAGAAGTCTTCCGCCTCGATCTATGATGCTGAACACAATCACATAGAGTCCGGGGCCTATCGCTTTTGTCATAGCCTTACATGGAAGCGCAAACATCAAGAAGGGTGGTCCGACACCGGTTCGGGAAGATGGTGACCAAAGGCTGGCGCTTTCTTTCTCTGTTCCCGGCGTCAGAGGATCTTGTGTTATCGGCGTCGCTACCTAGGTGGTATTCAAGGGGAATAGTATCAGGAAGGGTGAGTACAGTGCCAACGACGAGGAAGAAGACGAGATTGAAGACGAGGACGAAGTTGAGGCCGAGAGAAAAGACGCGGAGGGAAGAGATAAGGACAAGGTGAAAATCTGTGTAGTGATCTTGATTATAATATTTATCTTACTGCACTCACTTAAAGATCATGAGGACTGTGAGAAGCCTACAGCCTAGCCTCTCTACTCATAATTTCCCTCCTAACATACCTCTTCCCTATAAGATTTGTTGCTTCCACTATCGTTTGATAACTAGCCCTATGCATACCACCGCCACCTGCTCAGCTAACTTCGACCTGAATAATTATGGACGAGAACAGTACTAGACGGATCAACTATCGACGACCAAGCAAGGTGACCTGGAAGGACATCATCTATTAGAGAAAAGACCTTTATGAGCTCACGGATGATTTCTGCTCACATTTCGGGACTACTTCAGACACCCCTTCGGCAGCGGCCGGAGGGTGGTTCGGCGATAGATGCTACGAGACCTACAAGAACTCTCCAATCCTACTTTAGGTATAAGACTGCAATTGCGCACACATGTATGAAACAGAAAAGGTCTTCAACACAGTCCCGCCACTATGCTTAATTCACAAGAGTTCTTCGGCCGTGTCGCTTCACGACCTTCGTTTGTCACCAAGACGCCCCCCAACATTGATCGCAATACCGTCATCGTTGCGGTCGCGTCTCCAGACCTGGAATCAGGCATCCAGAGCCGTGATGGATGGTTTCTGTCAGACTTCTATGCCTTTAACTACTTGTCTAAAGGCCTAGGACACTCGCAGACTTGGCTCACTGCAGTGGTAAAGCTCTCTCCCACACTGTTCTATTGACTGCACCAGTAGAACTAATCTTATCAGGACCCGGAACGCCTTATTCAGAGGAATGGAGACTACTTGCATGGGAGCAAATTCCATGGACGGAAAGTCGTTCTCAGCTCCTCGCTACTTCAGAAAGGCGAGATCACGCAACCGGTGGTCGTCGAACCGAGCCACATCATCGACCGCTTCTTGGCAGAAGTTGAACGGGCTTCGACGGAAGCAGCACAGAACAAACGTCCATTGTTACTTTTGGTCTTCTGCCACGGGCTCAATACCCATAGGTTCCTTCTGAATACGCATGACAAGGACAGTGGGCTCACAGTGACGCGTCTCAAGGAAGCCATTGCCGATCGTTGTCGCGTCACCCTCCTCTCAACGGCCTGCTATTCTGCCGGATGGGTCGCAACGGACATCTCAGATGCCTCGAGTTTGGCAAAGATTGGCCCATGGCAAAGTCCGAACTCGTGGCAGCTATCCAATAACGTCAGTAAGGACTGTTGCGGGTCACTGTTCGCAAACTCAGTGATGAAAACTCTGGAGTCAAAGGAGAGCCCTCTCGTAGCCGCTGGCGAGAAGGCAAGAGCTAGACACTGGGAAGACCCAGACAGTCTCCAGCCTGACGACCCCAACGAATTGCAGATAGACACATACGACAACTTCCGTTGGGCCATGCTCAACGTATGCCAAAACAAGGTTCATCGTTTCGGCTACGAGCAGAACTTCAATTTCAGTGTCCAAGACGACCAGTGGAACTGGTCCTGGGCGATGCGTACGGGCGCTCCCTTGCAGCACTTTCAGTCGAGATGGGAGACACTCGAAGCCGCCGAGTTCTTGAATGACGACATGGTTGATAGAGTCGAAGATTTACGTCCCAGTGATGGTGGAGGTTCTCTCACCAAGGCTCTCGCATCGCGTGTCTCCTCTCTAGCCAAATCGCTTCTCGAGATGTCCCCTGAGGTATCTTGGAATTGCGGCTGGGGAGTTGACGACCACGCTTATTTAATTAAACTCGCCACTAGCGATGTAATCCCATACTACGGATTGATTTACCCAGAAGTCTATCCCATGGAGTTCCTCCGCTATCGTTTTGAGGCCGCCGCGATGGCGGATCGCATCGTCAGCCTTTTTGAGCTCCCGGTCCCGCAGGGTGAGTCTTGCATGGAGTGCGACATCTTAAACTTCGGCCACCGAGCGAGCTGCGAACCACAGGATCGCTGCAAACAGGAGCTTTATTGGAGCGTCTGGCAACGTCTCGTATACGGAAAATTGTATCCGTTCCCTACGGCATTCCAAGGGCCTCCCTTCCTCCGACCCTTGAACTATGTGGCCGCAGCAGTGTCTCTAAAGCCCCTGACAATAGAGGAAGCAGAATTGCTCGTTGATGAGATTATTCAACACGCTCACAGTCTCCGAGGAGGTGTGGAAGAAGGTGTCGCTGTAAACGACGAGGTTGATCGGCGGGCCCGAAGTTGGTTGACGTCGATCGATCAGAAGGTACGCCGGTCGCTGACTCCGGGCTCCAGCGACGCCGAGTAATATATGTTGTCATATTTTCCTGTCGTGTTTGACAGTAAATGGTAAGCCAAGTTATGATAATTGTAAAGTCCATACCCCCTTCCCACAAAACACATCGCAATCATCACTGATAGAGGACATGATGCTTGAGCTTGTCAACATGCAATTCATTTCATCAACACATCACTGTTCGATTCTCAACCTAACTATCCAACACCATGCATCTCAGTAATCATCCGCAATGCTAGACGACGCATCTGTAGGCCCATCGCCTTCGGCGGCCCTAGACGGCGCATCCGTGTGCCTACCGCCGCCGGCGTGGCCACCAGTATCAATATGTCCGCTACCCGCCCCAGCAATGACTTCCTGACTCGTTTGCGCGTCGACGACTGGGTGGCGCTCCTCTCTAGCTCTCTGACTTCCTACACTGGTAAGGACGCCGGTAAGCGGCACCCAGGGGCCTCCACTCTTCAACTGTTCCAGCCTCGACCTCATCTGTCCCCAAATTTGCTCACCATTCGCCATTCTGGGGAACACTCTGTTCTTGGGATCCTCTGGGTCCTGCAATGGAAGCCTGCTCTCTTGGTAGAGCAAGAACTATCGATGGCCGGGCGAACCCACTTGCCATTTCGTGTCGGCGTACGGTGCTGTGACCTGAGGCTCAATGGGAGTCCCGTCGAGAGAGAAAGTTCGAATGCAGTCGTAGTCGGTCTGCTTTGCCCTCAGTCGGACGGCCATGACGAGAACGTATCGGTGGAGCGTCCGATCGACGCCGTCATCGACGGGGTCCTCTTCGGGACGCAAATCTCTCACATTGACCACTTGAATAGACTTGAGTGGATGTGTCTCGTCTTCATCTCCATCCAAGGGCTCATATAGAACGCGGACGTACTTGGGCGGCTGCGGGAAGAAAGCGCCAAGGGTGCCGTCTGGCTGTCGCTCAATCTTGTCAGCCTTGTTTCGTATCGCCTCGTCAATCTTCTGAGGACGTCCCTTGACCTGGGTGTAGCTCGCCTCCACAACATTTCCCTTTTCGTTGTCAACCTTCACGTGGCCTTGGGTGTCGGACGTCACGTAGTCGAAAAGCCGGTGCTCTGGTCGCGACCATAGTGTCGCGTTCGTGGTTTCCATATCGACCAGATGAGCAAACTCTAGACTCGTGACTTCTTTAATGAACTCTTCAATCAGCTCGGGTGCGCCAGCACTATGCCAAGCCAGGGACATGAACTTGGTGGTGGACTCTTCGGTTTCTCTCAACGGCCCTCGTCGATCTTCGGCCGACAGACTATGGTTGATCAGGCGCGTCATGACTATCAAACAGTAGACACCTGAGAGATCCCTGTAGTGAGTGGTTTCGTTTCTAGCGTCGTACAGCGGCCATGCGCTTCTCAAGAAGCCGTCCTGGGCCAGACGACTTGCGGGGGCGTCGCGAATGTCGAAGTCTGGCATGATGTCCAATCAATGGACTAGATGATTTGGAGAGAGATCTTGGCAAATTATATGGCACAAGTCTTCGAATACGAGTGCAAAGGGGAGAATGGAAAAGTCGTGTTTAGAAGAGGAAGGACCTGGAAGGGGGGAGGGGGGGTCTCCTTCCTCTCTTGCTCGACCTTGAACCCTCATGTGCCCAACAACCGGCAAAAAATTTTCTCTTCCCTTTTCCACGCTTCCTCAACCGTTTCCTTTGGCTTTGTGGGCCTGCAAGTCAAGGAGAAACGTCTCAAAGAAGCTCATGCGACCTCGCAAAAGAGAGAAAAGGACCTGCACGAGCAAAAGCATCGTCTCGTCGCCGCCACGCTGGACGCTGATGTTAGATCCAAGTAGCTCAGGATGTCCGAGTCAACCGTGACAGATCAAGGGAAGGCCATTAACGACCAGGCCAAGAATCTCAAAGACGCCCACACGGCCATACGCGAAAGAGACGAAGAGCTACAAGCCACCAAGTTGACCATGGAGAATCAACAAAAGCGGATCTGTGAACAGGAAGCGCGTCTGAAAGATGCCAGTGACACCCTGAGAGCAAAGACCGAACACATAGATTCCATGCGAAAGGCCCTCGACGCTGCTCACTCGGAAAAGTTGCATGATAAGGCAAAGTTGGAGGACGTCCGGCGCCAGCTACGTCAAAAGTCGACAGCCCTCGATCAGAGTAGCAAGGATCTCGCGAGAGCCAGGGACGACAAGACGTCTCTTCAAGCGCAACTCGAAGATTTGCGCCAGGATGTCGTAGACGTCAGGCAAGACATCGAGGGTCGCGAAGCCCGAGAAGGCATAACTAGGTTGAGATGGCTCGAGTTCCTGGGAGGCGACAGAATGCTATGGGGCTCATTCGTGTCGAGAATCCAGGACGGAAAGCCGGTCGCTACTCTCACAGAATACCAGCCATGGATTCTCTTTGCGACATGGGACGGCAGCGCCGTCGAGCAAGAGATGTCGGGATCTAGCATCGCCTCCCTCACCATCCAAGTGTTGTCTGTCCTCGACCAAGGCCGTCCGCTCCGGACCAGCCTGGCAACGCCCATGCGACGGCTTGCCAAATACCTCGCCCAAACCAACAGCATTTGCCCAAGCGCGATGCGCCTGCTTATCGATGCATGCAGGGACCGGGCTTTCCAGATGCCTTCATCAGACGACAAGCAGATTTTCATCACCCATATCGATACCGTGGCCGATGTACTTGCGGCTCGGTGGGAAGTCCTTCGAGACTTGGCCCCAGGGCCTGACAGCACATTGGAGGCTATCAAAGGGTTCACCTCGTCGGGCGTGTTACCCGATCAATGGAGCCACGATGTAGGCTTCGTGGATGTCCCACGTGGCGAAGCCATGGTGCGACTGGTCAAAGGTCAACTCTGGTCACTGGGAATTGCATGGGAGGTGTCGACGAAGCGGTTTTGGTTCATGACACAAGACTGCGTCCGCAAGACCGCAACATGGGAGTTTGAGCTGAGGGCACCAAAGGCGGCCGGCGAGAACATTGCGATATTATTAGCACAAGAGGCGAGCGTATGTGTGTGGTGGGTGCAGTATGGCTGGTGATTTTTCTTTTCAAAGGGAGTAGGTCAGTTTAGTACTGTTGGGACCGTTTGCAATGTACATATTTTGGTATTGCTATAATGCTGGCACCTAATCTTGATCCCACAAAACTTGACGCTAGATTTTGAATGTTTAACCCTCATGGTTGCTCTCGTGGGCTGCCGGCGTTTAGCTCAAATCCGGACAAGAAGACCCATCCTTGCGTTGGTCTTCTTCAGTCGAAGAATTTGTTCAGACGCAAGGCCTTCGCAGGTAAGCAGGCCTATCTCTTGTCCCTGCTTGAGAGCAATGCAATGGCGCAACACAAGGCTTCGCAGCCATACTCCAAAAACGCCTCGAATTTCATACATCGCCCATTTGGCAAGTGCACGAGAAGACACAAGAACCTACTACCTGTAGAGCATCGCCAATATCATCACTTACAATGTCCTCAGAGACGCATCGCCCCGCTATATCAAGATGAATCTCTTTGCGGAAAGCTTCGTCTTCGGAGGCAACCTGCACCATAGTCTCGACATGAAGACCGAAATCAGGAGTTACGGCATTGATGTGCCAACCGTCGTCCGAAAGAACCTTGAGAGGTCCAAAGCCGCCCCTAGAAAGAGCAACCAGATGTCGAACACGTCGTCTCGATATTACTATAGGTGCCACCAATGGGCCGCTTTCAGGCCTCTTACTGGGAGGCATCAGTCCATATTTAGGCTCATGGCGATAAGTGAGAAAGATTCATTTGGAAACACTGCGTTTCTCAGAGTTTCGTTATCGCTTTGGAACTATTACATCGTGGGTCGAGGGCGGCGTGTTTGTGCTGGGTTTTGGCCAAGGTTGGGAAGTGGACCAGAGAGATGTTGAGAAGGGCAAGTCATGCTACAGCTATCGCCATGCCAGAGTACTGCCGTGATGGCATCAACCCTTGACACCTCAACCGAGCCAGTCGCTGTAAGCGTCACCGTTGATTCTGAGTCATTGAACTCGTCGTTGCAATAAACTTCCTTGGGAATATTAAATTTGTGTGACTTTCGCGACGTTGTAGAAGCGTCAGGCGAGTCGCAACATTAACGAGATGCTCGGCCACGCCTGCCAGGCTATCAGCCGCTGATTGAAGCGTGCTTATCATTACCGAGTCGAAGATTCGACAGGTGTTGATATTGCTTCGGAAGCTGGATCCATGCTTCGGACTAAATGTGTTGTTAGACTATAGTCATGCCTGTTGCGCACTTTGACGGACATAACCTGTCCCGTTGGGATTTCGAAAGCGTCGCAGTCCCTTTTCTCGGAGGCCAGAGTCGAGTTTTCGTCGACCTTTTCGTTGTTTCTCTTGTTGTGATGGAAATCCGCAATGCGTAAGTCGTCGTCTTTGTATCCGTAGTCGACTTCTACGCTCTGCTTATCGTCAACTGTAACTTTGAGCAAAAATCATTTTTCTCGGAAGACTAAAGCCTGACTAGATACTATCCACGTCAGTTGGCAGGTTCTTGTGCTCAGCTTATATCTACTTGGCGAATGTTACGGAACCTGAGCATGGATGGTAACGTCGGTCGAAGTTCGTGGGTATTGAGTTTTCGTAAGTAGAGCGGCCTGTAAGTCGAAGGCTGCGCGTGAGCATGAGTGAGTAGTCAAGTCAGACGACGTTGAGGGGTATTAGACTTTTGAAATGAAAGCTGCTGAGCAGTCAACATATGAACCTTGAAGGTTATAGGTTGATGGAAATTGGGGTTTGGTGAGCGCAGACACTAGCTCGCGTATTGCGGATGCAGGAAAGTGTCCTGAATTCAGATGCTGATTGAATCTGTCTGTCTGATCCAGTCTTTGTTCGTGCTTAGGATGGCGAGGTGCCACTCTACCTGGGATGATATGGAAGGGCGGAATCATGGGGAAAGTTGCCACGGAGAAGATGGAGAGAGAATTCAGAGTGGAACATTTGGATATAAGGGCCTGTGTTGATTTACGGAAGTAGGCGTCCATCCAGGCGGCAGGTAACTTTGCATGGCTCATTGACATCGAAGCAGAGCAAAACCTACCGGTATATCGAGTGCGACTTACATGAGCTGGAGGGTGGGGTGTCACCATGACCCCGAAGAACACAACTTCTTCTGGTTCGCAAACCACGCGGCTCATTGGTAAGGCAACCAAGGGAAGGGGGTAGATAGCTCGGAGGGGGTGTGACTGAGGGAAGAGGGTGGTGTGGGATGTGTGGTGTGGACCGCCTTAGGTTGAGTCCAGGCGTCGCTCACGAGAGCTGTAAGTACATGGCAGAGGGGAAAGAGTGACGAGTGCAGAAAGATGCGGCTCAGAAGAAGAGGAGCAGGGTGGCGAAGATCTCCTGCATGATGTAGATTCTTTTGAGCCTGTTGTTGACCTCTCGGACTGTTTACGGGCGGGGAAAACGATTAACGACTCGAATAGCTGGAACGAGTCGTGGAACAGGTGAGAAATTAACAATATCGTCATTCTATTGCTCTCACGGCAAGTCAGGTCAAATGTGCAAAGAAGCATGCGTTACGCTTCTGCATCGATCTCGTGCACTTATGCCTTGAACGGTGGATCCCAAGGCAATAATGCTTCCAAAGGTAATTTCCCAGGCCGATTCCTATTGCCTCACTCCAATGTTGTCAACGGAGTATCACTCCACAATCCATCCATTCTCGACCACAGCAAAGTAATCAAGTGAACACTGTGCAGTGTACAAGTCAGTTCACCTTCTCGCCATGATTTCACAATGAATTATGTCGTGTTCATGATCGGAACAACACAATGTGAAGGGGTTTAAATATTACCGTAAGAGCACACTGGCATCGTGATAACCATCATGCATTTGGGAGATAGAAGAGGGTTCGGGTCGTTGACTGATGATAGAGGTAAACAGGCCGCAATGAAAGCGCTTTGGGGTAGGTAAATAAAATGTGCCAGGCAAACTTCAGCGATGGATTACACTTCGAAGTTCTTCCATAACTTTGCCCGGCCGAACACTCAATGCAATTCTGACAACTCCTTGCAATGGCAGCAGTTCGTCAGGCTAGATACCTCTTCAATTGAAGGTGGGGTTAAGGGAGGTTGACTTACCTTAGGTAAGCCGGGAGGTCATCATCGCAGGGAGCTGGCTCGAATCATCATCCAAGGTGCCGGCTTCTTGGTTCAATGAGCCGTTTGTGACTTGGACTGAGAAGAAAGAATAGACGGGAAAGGGGGTGGGCGAAGGGGAAGTCCCCCAGGATGCCAAAAACGACTGGTTCGCGAACCAGCTTGAGGCTCTCGCAGGCCTTCTCAGGCAACCGTGCTAATGCATGTGTCTTAGGCGGCTGTTGGTTCGCCCATGGAACTGTCTTCTTTTTTAACTTACCTACTTATACCAACAACCCAGCGTCTCGTCAAAGTTCAATGGTGACAATCGTACAGCGACAGATCAAATTTGGGCACGTGTCTCCAGCTACCCTTTATATAGCTTTATTCTTTTGCGGCGTAAAGCTCTCATCAACGGAACGCCGCCTCCGCATTTCCTCGATATCCTCCGAATATACACATCTCTTCACGACCTTGACCGCCTGTTGCTAACACAACTCTTCTCAACGAAACGAATTCTAAACACTCCTGGTAGCTCGACTGACCCAGCGTGCGACAGAGAATCCGAGAACGGAATCTTCAGAATCGCAATGGCCACGTTGGAAGCAAAGCCACTTATGGTAACTCTTGCCTATGAGTTCTTCCCGTGCGTGACACTTGGCTGCACTTCAAAGCCCTTTCCAACAAAAGCCAACCTTAAGCGGCATATGAGAGCTGTGCATGGTCCACTAGTCAAAATGCGTTGCGGAAAGCTTCTGCGAGGTCATTCTTGCAACATCAGGCGCCATCAACAAAGGTGCCACGCGTGTCTCCGAAAGCCTGTCGGTACTGGTACTGGAAAAGTTCCAAGTATGACTAAGCCTCGTCGCTCCGAGCGTCTTAGTCAGCATGTACAACAAGTTACCACAGCTCGCGCAGTGGATGGGACCCCAGCCCAGGACGAGCCATCGGGCTGTGTCACCCCTAACGAAGTCTACCTACATGCCCCTGAGAATCAGACGCGAGACACTTCGTACGATGATGGCGTCAACGCACCGCTCCATGACCCGATTTTGGACACTATCTACGCCTACCCATTCGGATTGTGAGTTCCCCTCCGAGATCATGATGATAATCTTGTTCTGACGATTTGATAGTCCTGGCGGTGATTTCACATGGACTGGTCCCTTCAGTACATGGGACGAAGTAACAAATGTACGAATACGGATAGGTCCCTTCCACTGGTAACTATTGTGGAGAACAAAACGCTCATAGTTGATGTCGTGCAGACAACCCCACAGGATCCCGGCGCAGGAAGTATCCACTCAGATCCATCATCTTAGTTGCCTTGTCACGCTTGTCCACCAGAGCAATCAGCCCTCGGCACAGAAACGACACGTACGGGAAGTTTTGACCACTGGGTAGAGGGTCTTTGGGTTAGATTGAAAGATAGGCTCCATGGGGAATGGTCATTGGTCGCCTAAATCCAAACAACGTGGAGGGTGTGTGTGATGAGTCAGCGGCGTAAGGCGACCAACGTTCGGATACATATGTGTCGCAGCTGCCCCTCGGATTTAACGACAAGGCGTCCTTTGTACATTACGATACCTCGAAATTATAGTTCAACGTTCCTGCGACCAGGAAGAAGTCCTGTTTATTTGGTGATGTCGAGGCTTGTTCGATCAAGCCAGCGGTCCTGCGGCATTGTCTAGAGTAAGTCTGCCGTCACAATATTCCAACTGGATATGGGGCTATTTGGCTAACACCTATTGATGCGACAGTTTCCGCCGTGCGTTCTTAGCGACCGAGATGTCGAATTTCCGAGACAAAAGCTATATAGAGTGATTCCTGCCTCGATTCTATACTCGGGGATACCAGCAAAGGGGGAGATTCGGTGCAAGCTGATTAGGGGATGTGATGATTTACACGGGTTGAATATTACTGAAGAGCAAGGATGTCCGTAA